TAGCCAGATCCAGCACATGGGGTTAATAATCCATACAGTGTGAATAATGATAATGCAACTCGGAGTCTGTACACTTTCCTTCTGGACAATATCCTTGTGTATTCTCATTAAGGCATTGCTGGTAGTAAAGAGAAAAACACTGTAAACTTTTTGAGGATTATCTAGCGAATAATTTTTTTCTTAGTAGGTCAGCAACTATGTCTTACAAATTAAGGCAAAAAGGGATAGGCAGGTTATGAGGGAGTTCAACTATAACATCAATCTTGCCCATTAGTGATAAAATGCATTAATATAATTGAATAAGAGGTTATTTCTCTGAAACTGTTCATTAAAATCTGGACCAGAGGAGGAAAAGGGCAGGAAAGGTTTTTCCTGCTACTGAATGAGAATAATTCTAAATAACAGATGCTCCAGCCAATTTAAAGGCTAAATTCTCCTCTCTGATACTCACTATACTGGTTCTTTTAACTGCAGTTTCTTAACATGAGTAAGATTTCACTTGACATGAATAAGAGATATTCTGAACTCACACTGAAAGAGGGAGAGAAAATTATCTTCTAGGCAGGTCTGAGAGAGAAATATCACTGTATATGGTTCTTAAATATTTTAAAACAGTATCTTCTTCTCAAGCTATGAACAGATGGACAATTTATGGTGAGATGGGCAAAGACAGTATCAACTCAGTGAATGCCAGATGCTTTGCTGTAGCTGTCTACATGAGGTGGTTTTCACTTCAGCATAACAGCATGCATATGAACAGTTATCACAGAGTACCTGACACATGGGATGAGTTTGCATTTGATCTTGTTTCACCACAGCTTACACTTTTATAATCAAAATAATTATTAGAACTTAGTCAAAGCTTCAATTACTTTCAGACAAAACAGTTACTGGGTCAGGGCAAATACACTTAAATTTCTCCAGAGTTATTCAGAAATTAAAAATCTGTCAGAAATTTGGTGAATTCATAATTAAATTAAGAACAAAACCAAATATCTGGAAAAACACTGAGTTCCAGCCTGCATTTTATCTAGAAATGGAAACTATGTCTTAGTAGTAACTGTTTCAAATAGATTAATAAAGTAATAAGCACAGCATTTATTTAACGGTTTAAATAGACCTCTATAAAGTTTCATTACAAGAATTACTGCAGAAGCAAGGAGCTACTGCCTAAGACCTACAGTATTACAGCAAATAAATATCTGGTTAGGAATCAGAGACCAATTGATTGATTTTCATCTTGCAGCTTGTTTACAGAATAATTGCTTATGATTCCATGTCTGGACTCGTGTTATATTCCTTAATGAACAGGATGAGATATAAATAGCAATGTAATGAAATTTTCAGACGACAAAATCAGTTAAAGAATTCAGGATCAGAAGGAGTTGTGATACATTGAATTTACAAGGTGAATAAACAGCACCATGTCAAAGAAAATTTAGTGTCCATAAATAGAATTAAATATGTAGTGGAAGGAAAATATTAAAGATGCATTTATCTTTAAATTCACTATGTAAATCCAGGAAAGTACCAAAGTATTGCTGCAGACAAGTCAATGAAAAACTTTCCTCCATATGCAAATGCATTAGGAAAAAGGCATAAAATGTTCTAAAGCTATTGCATAAATCAAAGCTGCATCTTGTCTAGAGTGGAGTGTACAAAACCTTTACATGATAATGTGGCACTGGAGTGGGCTAGGAAAAACAACAAAATCTCATACAAAGTGAAACAGGAAAGATTCAATATTTCCTCTGAGGTTAATTAGTATAATCATGATAAGACTGAAAATCACAAATCTAAGTCAAGGGCTCTTTAGAAATGACACAGAGGAACTGGATATCTGTATGGAAATGTAGTTTTCATAATTAATTATTGCATATTTAGAAATAAACTTCCTATTTCAGGATGGAAACCAATTGCTTCTTATAAGAAAATAAAGGGAGGATTTGTAGAAGATGACACTTCTGTGACAGTATTTAGACTAAATATGTTTCTGGCTATTGCTGGGTCATAAAGTTACATAGAAGGGTCTGCTTTTGAGTAGGAACCAGTGTTTTCAAGATTTTTGCTGCTTTCAAGATATCTTCATGATTTTGGAAAGGTTTGTGTTTGCTCAACAGCTCAGAAAAAAAGTCCTTTCAAAACACCACTATGTATGAGATTGAAGGACTGCTGGTGATCAAGGTTCAAGTTCCTGAAAAAAGTCCAAAACAATAGAACAATCTTAAACTTGAAAATTCTTTTCCTTCTTGAAAATACTTCCTGCATTATCACAGTTTTCTGACCTTTCCACCACTGGAATTTACCTTCCTTTTCTCACCCTACATTAAAAAAAAAAAAATTTAACAAGGTCCTCCATGCCTTGTAATGAATTTTTTTTAACCTATTCACAAAACCTAAAATATGACAATTCTCATTTCTAGTTTCTGGAATACCTGTCAATCTAGATTTGTAATTCCAGAACATGGTGTGTATATTCTTGATAAATGTGTTTTGCTTTGTATACTATCTATATTAACTGAAACAGTATGACTGGATTTGGATAGGCCTAGAAAATACAGACAGATTTAAGGCTGCTAATAGAGTCCTCTTTGAAGAGCTTTGTGTGTACAAATTCCTGATTCAAGGACAAGAAGTCTCATCAATACAGAGCAAAATAAGTTGACTCAAGAATTTGTTCTTTCTCCAAATAATCAGGGTAAAAAACACATGGCCAAGAGCATATCTTATATTGGAGCATCACATTTTCTAGTTCATCCTCTATTTCATGCTCTTCCCTCCCTAGCTATTATACATTATTCAAGAGGTAATCTGGCCTTTTATCGCTGGCAAATCAAGTTCCTTGGGTAAACTAGCCATCTTTTTGCCGCTTTTCAGATTCAAACACATTGCTCAGCTTCTGAAAGAATGAAGTAAAGGATGGAGTTCTGCCCTTTTTCATTTATTCCTTATAATTTTACATTTGAGTAGTAGGATTTGACCAGAGCAATGCTACTGGCTGCGGTGGTCGGAATGAGGCCTCTTCTGTCTCATGAGATTTGTTGAGTATTCAGTACATTCCATCAGAAAGACAGTGGCCAAGGTGAAAATTCCAGCAGATGTCCCAACGGGATATAATAGCACGATAACAGAAACCAGCCAGCCGTAGGTGCAGCGGCAGGCCTGGAGGGACCCGGCTCTGCCTGGGGAGAAGAACAGTGAGCCACATCCCATGAGCTGGCAGCACAGAAATCAGGAGGAGCCCAGAGGTGCACCGCACGTTCACCTATAAGCTCTTCCCAGAGTCTCAATATTTGGGGTTTCTGTTGATTTGGGAGTCACTTCAAGACACTGCAAGTGGCTATACAAGTATGCCTTTCCAAAGCCATTGAGGCTCCTATAGCAGTCTCTAGGGGTAAGAACTACTCAATCTGCTGTAACCACAGTTTGTGAAATGTGCACAGCACAGCTTTGATATACACATTACCTAAAAAAGGGAAGTGATTGCAAAGAGTGCAAAATCCCAGAAACCTTGTGCCAGTTTTTACCGATTCTAGTCATGAAATCTTTTCTTTTTGAGCACATTCTTAAGCTGCTTAAAATTTATCTAATTCTCAAAGGAGGGTAAGTTGTAGAAAACATGAAAAATATTTGAAATCAGAATATTTTTGTCACAAGCCATTGATAAATACCGTTTTAATAATTCAAGATTTAACCAGTTCCTTCTTGATCCATTTTATCCAAATGTACAGTCTGAAGTAAAATGATTTCTCATTTTTAGAACACTGAAGAGACAGAGCTCAGCACGCAAAATGCAAACATTTGAAACTACTTGGGAGTGTCTACCTTCTTCTGACCTCATGATCCTTGATTTCTGTTCTGTACATTATCCAAAAAAGACAGAGTTACACTTCTGCTTGTTTCAGTTCCAGTTCCAGTGCCACACCTGATCTATTCATCTTGGCAGCTGAACACCCTTTTCTGGGAAGTACAGGCTCTGAATCCTAAATCCTCTCTCTTCTTTTGTCTGTAAATGCTAGCCTAAGGCAGAGGCTTACTAAGACCACTTCTAACAGACATTTCAAAATAAAGTGACAGCTGTAACTGTACTTTTAGAAGTTTTGGTCCTATAAATATAGGCTGGGGAATGGGTAGTGCATGGATTTTGAAGAGATTTAAGAATAAGCTTGGCTTATCTCCATCAGAGTTGCAGCAGTCATCTGTAAATGCAGGTAACTCTCATTTTAGCCACCTCATCCCTTTTAGTAAAAATTTGTCATGATTTCACAGCACTCATTGTAGATGTATGCAAGGTTTTATTGGAATACTGGTCTAAATTTTAGGGGACTTTTATTCTATCTCCCGAGTTTGAATATTGGGCACACATCACAGCTTCCACTGAGGAACTAATTCCAGGTTTTTAAAACTTGGTTTAAATTTTAAAGTATCAATTTTCTTCCAGTCTCTTTCCCATTTTCCTTCCCACATTCATACTATGGGGTTTAGAGGTGGGATTGCTGGATAATCAGGTCTTGAAAGTCTCGATATTTGTCAGAGGCTTAGAAACATAATTTCGGGCAGTTTTTTATGTCTTATTTTATGCATATTTTTAATATTACAATTTCCAATAGCAAAAAAGCACATATTTCTCTTAAACTGATCATGTCTCATAACCCTTATGCCTTGCCATTTCAATCGATCCTCCTCCTTCGTTGTTGATTTTGAAATATTCACTCTATGACTATCCCATTATCAATGTCTGGAAGGAAGGACGACCATGACTAAAGTTATGTGTGAGAATGTAGAAAGCTGGAAAATGCTTTCATCAATAGCAGAGCTGAGTGTCTGTGAGAAAATGCTTCAGTTTCTTCATCTGGAAAAGAAATTTATTCCTTTATGGCATAATATATATGGGGTTTGATATGTATCCACAAAGGCTCATATTGGTGTTTGCATTATTTTTACTGATATTGCTATTAACTTCAATTTTGAAAACACTGTATTTTTTGTTTCTGTTTCAGCTGCAGTGAAAAAGGAGGAGAAGAAAGGTAAATCAATCTTTTCCCTTGACTGAAACGTCTTTCAGGCTGTGACTGCTGTGAGAAATGTTTCTTTCGTTCAGTGATACAATTGTGATGATATACAGCATTGTGATGACATACAGCCCCTCCTGTGCTGCCATCAGCCAACTTTATCTGCTCCTGCTGTGATAACACTGTTGTCATTTCCACTATTGGTAGCTACTTTTTAAAACAGGCCAATACAGACCAGTATTGGACACTTCATCATTCTGGCTGGGAGGAAAATGAAAAGCCTTTGTAACTACATTAGGATTTGTCAGAGAACAAAACTTTCAGCGCTCCATGCATGCTGACCTGGCTGCTTGCACTTTGCAGAGGTTGCTTTTCTAGGCACATTTAATTTCCTCTTTTCACATATATATGGAGCTTGTATGTAACCTTTGCTGAAGTCATTCTCCGATATTTTAACAGATTAGTGGAAAAATTTGCCCTAAATCAGAACAAAAAATATTATTTTTATTTATAGATAAATATAATGTATTTATCAGACCCTAAATATCTATTTATAGTGCTGTCTTTCAGAATAATATTTGCTGAGTAAAAACTTTTTTTTCCTAATTTTCTGATTTTATTCAAACAACAAAAAAATGAAATATTTGCACCGAGGTGGTATATTTTTTAATCTGTTCAACTTGATTGAGTTATAAATCTTGTCTTTCTCACTAAATAGAGCTATGGGAACATTTTCAGAATGTATCCATATATTTCTTAGGATTATTTGAGATTTTTTTTAATTCAATGAGGAAAATAAAGCTCTTTATTATTGATGGGAGATTTGGTGGGTGGGGGGGCTAGGGCCTTTTGTGTCTTTTGCCATTTGGAAATTCTGTGGTTTACATTACTGAACAATGGAGCCAACCTTTACTGTCTATACATAAACACATTTTCAATCCTATTAATTATTGGTTTTTTCTGTTATCCCTGTACAAAGATGTTAACTGAACTGAAAAAAAAAAAATTATAGTCTCAACTGTTTTATCAACTCACGAGTGAAATCTTGGCTGTGTTGATGTTAGTGGCAAAATTCCCATTCACTCCACTGAGGCCAAAATTTCACTTCTTGTCTTTAAAAGAACAATAAAAGTAATTTCAGTTATCAAAACCAGCCATGCTTAATAGGTATTAAGCAGGATATTTTGTCCAAGATTAATTTGCAACAATTGAGGCATGAAAGGTAGTACATGAAGCAGGGAGAATCAGAAAACTGGCAGCTACTCATAGAGCCATTGGTTTTCAGATATCGAAATGTCTGCAGTTTTCAAAAACATGAACTGCTACATCCTTGATGGAAAGAAAATAATGAGGTAATTGTTAAGGGTGCTACTTCTTTCACCCTTGTCAGATTGTGGGCCCATTCTTTTACAGAACAACACCAAGTGAATTTGTTTTAAACACCTAATGCTCATTTTTCACCAGCTAGGAACTTCTTCCCCCTTAACCAAACTTTTCCCCAACAAAACTGATTGAAAAATGCATTTTTCATGAACATTCTTTGAAGTTAGATCGATTTTTCCATTTCATTTTCTTTTCTATATTTCTTTTGCTTAAAAAAATTTCCTTTGATTTCTTAGTTGAAAGGATTTTGCAACAAGTATGTGTAGGCTACTTTCAAGCACCTGGCTCAGGCTGTATCGCACCCTGCTGGTTACCACCAACCTATTTCACAGAAACATGGAAGTACGAACTGAAATTCAGTTTTAGTCATTCTTATGATTATCATCCCTCTATTTGTTTTTTGTATTAAACCAACCTCTGGTTTTCTGAGATCATAGCTAACATTGTCAGCAAGGAAGGTAGTGATTCTAGTAAAAAAAAAAAAAAGCCACAAAAATGAAATCAGCCAAACTGGTTCAGTGATGTTCATGCCTTTAATAAATATGCGCTAAACTGAAAAACTAGAGAGAATAAGGCCTCTTCCAAAAAATGAACATGCCATGCTTTAGCTGCCATGCTTTCCCATCTAGCTTCCACTTCTCTGCAGGCCCCACATGGAAAATATTGCATGCTACTGGCTGACTCCAAATATGATAAGATTTTATTTATTTCTGCTTGTTCTGTTGTCATAAGAAATTGCTCTAGGCTGCATGTGTATTCCTCTGACTGGCAATAAAAAAGGGTAATGTTCACTGGTTTTGCTTAAGGATACAGTATTTTTTGCACAGCTGCAAAAATAATAGAAGTAGCCAGGCAGCGCTCTAAATTGACTGGCTCATTATCCAAAATATATTGTGGTAGTAGCATGCACAGTTCAAACAGTACTTCACCATTTCTCATGTGAATCATGCAGCACACAGACACTATACTCTACATGAAGCTTTCTCCAATTATTTTGTCCTGTTCAAATACATCTCTCATTTAGGAAAACAAGAATAATGAGCCATACAGAGTGACAAGCCATCATAAAAGAGAAGAAGTTGGAATGACGCGTTCAGTCGATGGTACATTCTGTGCATAGCATAAATCAGATTTGAAGGAGCTGGCAAGAGACAGAAAAGAACAAAATTAAGATGGAGAAAGATTACATATTGTGCTGATTTCTCCAAATATGGATGATACTAACAAGAACCTTGAGGCACAATTAACGCATGAAATTTAGGCATTCACTATTTCTTTTTCAAAGGTTAGGTCTCTAGGACTTTGTGACTTTGTGACCAAAGTCCTAGAAAACAGGCAGCTTTACCTTCCAGCATCATGTTATGCCTCCTTTCAACATGTGTGGGATAGAGAAGCTGTCACGGAAATGTGTAAATGTTGTCAATTCCAAAAGGGCAAGAGGCAGAAAACCTTTGCATGAGGACGGCATTTCCTAAATTTCCCGAGAGAAAATCTGGCTGCCAGTGCAAAACAATTTTTAACTCTTTCTAGTAATTCAAAGCATGTGAGCAAGGAATCAAACTAATTAAAATAGACCAAGGGATTGGTGAAGTGATATAAATCCCATAATTTCCAGGACATCTCCAGAAAACAATAAACAGAAATGTAATGTGATGAAATATTTCAGCATTTTTTCACATTTAATTGCCATTTTTAAATGAAATAAATATTAATAATTTTTTTTTGTTTCTATAAACCAAAACAATATTCTCATATTTCAAAAATGTTTTACAACTACAGAGGTTTACAAAAATCCTTGCTTGGAATAGAGGCCAATCAAAGAAAACTTCAAGTTTTCTTAGTTCTGCATAAAGTGAAATTTCTTATTTCAATTCATACTTCCCATACCCTATTTATTTCTGACTAGGACAGAAATATAGGATACAGACTGATCTGGGGATGTCAAGCAAGTAAGAGTAGTGAGTTGTCTCTCCAGTCAGTGTCAGAAAGTCTTGTTTTATAAAGATTCTTTACATCTGTGTTTCTAGTGGACCAAACAGGATTCAGCCATGACATGATCCCTGTGGTTGCTCATTCTCACGAGTACGTGTAAGAACATTCTCATTTCCAAAAGTGACTCGTGAACCTGAGCTGACAGGGAGTTGGTTTCTCCAGCCTCCTTGGAGCTGCAGAGAGAGAACAAACTCTGCCTTGCTCCTGAGAGCACATCCAATTCAAGACCTCTGTGAGCCTCACATGCTCTGTAGACTGCCCACAGTCAGATATTATGAAGACTTGTAAGTTAGTGAGGTGCAGGTGCTGGTTTCTTGCCAAGAGCAACACTCCCATTCTGATTTTCAGCATTAACACTCTGACACCTTGCTCTTAAATTCATTTACTAGTTTTTAGAAAGCAAAATGAAAATCACATTCATGTGACAAGTTTCATCAAAATAAATTGACAGGAGAGTATTTGGGATCACATTTAGACTTTTCTCAATAAATGCATTGTGGTGCATAACATGAGTAACATCTGAGTGCAGCTAAAATCAAGCAAAAGGAGAAAATGAGCAAGCCATGTACATTCAAGCTCCAAACTACATCTTTTTGTCAATTCAGTAAAGAACAATTTCCTTCTAGTACTCCTTGTAATGGTATGGCTTGGAAACTGCTGTTCTGCATACAGAGGATGGAACAAACTGGCCAAGGCAATTTCAATATATATAAAAATCAAGATGCTTTCCAAACTGGAAAAAAAAAATTAAAAAAAAAAAACCACCCACAAAAAGGGGGGATTTCAGAACTGCTTAGTTTTGTAATTGACCAGAAAAACTGGAAGTCAGCCCTCTTATTCATAATGCAAACGGTCATGGCAGCATGGGATTTCTGCTCAGCTGCAGGTGCCGCTGGTCCAAGATGAATCACAGCTTCATTGCATCATTTTCTAACAAGAGTCAAAGGATAAGAAAGTAGAGTATCTGATACTATAACTGCAAAGTGTATTACACAGACTTAATAGAACTTTTAGTCCTAAACAAAGGGATTAAAAACCCCAAATCATTATAAACACTTCTAAAATAATTTTCTTAAAATAGGGTCAGAAATTCTGCATTATATACTAGAAAATAATAAATACAGCCATGTGCTAGTATGCCGTTGAAACTACCAGTGATATTTTGACCAGCTAAAGGCAGGCAGCTCTCTCAAAGGAAACAGTCGCTGAAATAGCCACAAGATGGAGCCCAAAGGATCTTCCAAACTGTAGTTAATATTGTCATCCTGCATGGATAAAGAGTTAAATAAACTGATTTTACTGAAAAACACTATAGGAATCTTGAACTGCAAACAAGATGTTTTCCAATGTAAATCCACTCCGGACTAAAGATGTTTTCGATTTGATAGATGGCTACCCATACACTAGTGAGCTTTGATTTCCCATGCTAAAATAACAAGTCCCCAGCATTTTCAAGGAATACTGATGAACAGATAATTTATATTAAATAAGTTAGCTGAAAGACTACATCAGTTAACTGAAATTTGCTTGACCTCTGTTTGCCTTGCCTCAACTATCTTAGGGATACAAATAATCTATTTGTCCAATTTACAGGTTTATGTGAGACTTAACAATCTGTACAACGTCTGTCTAATGATGGA